ATCAGTCCATGGGTTTGGGTGAGTGGTGGGAGTTGATACTGGGTTAGTAAACTAGAGAGTGAGAGGCGGGCATGGGGGACGTGAGTGCAGACCACCATTCTGAAAAAGCTTGGCTCTGAAAGAGGATGAGGGAAGACAGGGGGCCGATGGGACACTTGCTTTTGCTTTGGGGGGTGTATTTTAAGGTTGGTAAGGCTTAGACCTATCTAAATAGTGATAGAAAGAAAGGATCCAAAAGAAAGGGGGACCATTGAGAGCGTTCACTGGGGAATGAGCACAGGCTGTAGGTCTGGTTCCACTACTGTCTGAACTTGAGCATATCACTGAATCTGTCTGGGCTACAGCATCTTTTTTTTTTTTTTTTAATTTATTTCTAGGAGAGAGAGAGAGACAGTGTGAGCAGGGGAGGGTCAGAGAGAGAGGAAGATACAGACTCCGAAATAGGCTCCAGGCTCTGAGCTGGCAGTCAGAACAGAGCCCGACGCGGGGCTTGAACCCACGAACCGCGAGATCATGACCCAAGCGAAAGTCGGACGCTTAACCGACTAAGCCACCCAGGCGCCCCTGGGCTACAGCATCTTTATCGGTACCTTGCAAGGTGTCTCTGTAATTATGGTCTTCAAACTACACTCTTCAGAACTGTCTGAGAGCACTCATATTTCATCGTCAGCCCCAGCGACCTTGACCTCTCTTACGTGTTTTTAAACAATTTTTTATTCTTTAGTTTTGGCAATTTAATACATGTATTTTGGAAAAGTAAAATAGTAGTAAAAGAATTATGAATAAAAATAGCAGCCCCTGTCCATACCTCCTCACTCTCAGCCACTCCCGATTCTTAAGGTATTTATGCCAATTTCTGTAAAATTCTTATCTCCATGTTTCTTCAATGTAGACATCTACTGATTTCTGTCCCATTCTATACCCGCTTTCCCTGATTCCTTTCCCTCACATAATGTTTGTTTAATAGTGTTTTCATTATTATAACCATGCAAATATTGCTCAGCGACTCTGTCCCCTTTTGTGAACAACCTGTCATTTATCTGGCCAGTAAAATTTGCCTCTTTTGTCTCATTTTCCCCGATTTCCATTAACGATTGATATTTTTTTCCCTAAATGTTCTGCCATCTCAATAACCTGCCAATAGAGTCTCTGTGTTGGTGTGATCACAAGACTTCCTTAGAGACTCCATTCCCAGAGCCCCATGTGAGGTGCCGTGGAGCCCTCTCCTGGGACTAGCTTTCACTCTTGCCTGTGTTGGACCCATGCCTCTTGCTGCCATATCTTCTTCTTTCTTGGTTTACACCCCTGTGTTGGTGCAGCCTATCCTCTAACGGTAAGGGAGACCATGTTTTTGAATATTGCATAACTGAAAATATCTTTATCTTCCTGTCCCATTTAATTGATGTTTGGCTCGTTATAGAATTCCGGCTTGCCAAAAAAAATGGCCCTTGAAAAATGCTGAAATCATCATTGTATAGCTTCCATTGTGGTTGTGGAGATGTCAGATGCTATTACAATTTGCCACCCCTTGGACCTTTTTGTTTTTCTTTCTCTTAGGATCCTGTTACATTTTATTTTTATCCCTTCATGTCACAAATATGTGCCTTGCTTTGGTTCTTTCTTCAGCCATTTTGCTTGGTACTTGGTAGGCCCTTTGGTTACGAAGATTCATATCCTACATTTCTAAAAAGGATTTCTTGAATTATTTCTTTTGTAATTTTCTCCACTTCATTTTTTCCATTTTCTCTTTCTGTAGTTTCTTTCAGTTTAATATTGGACCCTATGACCTGACCTTCTAATGTTACCTTTCTCCTCTCTCTCTCTCTCTCTGTGTCTTCCCCCCCCCACTCCCCTCTCTCATGAGAGATCTTGGCTTTATATTCCAACTCTTCTATTTAATCTTTTTAATTTAACCGTCTTTTATTTAATTTCCAATATTATCTCCTTTTTATAGCCATTTGTTTTTGTTTCATTGATACAATTTCTTCTCTCTCCAAGGACATTCTCTCTCCCCCATCCCTTACTATAAATCCTACCTATCCTTGAGTGTTCAGGTCAAAATCCGTATCTTGTGTGAGGCCTTGTCCAATCAGTTTAAATCTCTCCCTTAAACATGAATTCTGTGGCATTGTTATAATTAGACACCATCTAATATGTAATTATATTTAAATGTGCATTGCTTTCTGTTGAGGAAATCAGTTCTGTTGAGGAAACCAAGGAAGGACTGTTTACTTGTTCTAGAGCAGCCAGAGTGCCTTGTCTAGAATTGTGAATACAACAAGTGATAAATAAGTGCTTATTGATTTGAAAAAAATGGCCATCCTAATTCCACTGAGCCAGGCTATCCTAGTTGGGTTATTCATGAGCAATATTTTAGTGACTTTTATTGACTTTTCCCTGAAATTCTCAACTTAGATTTCATAGGGAAAACACAACTTTCTTTTCTCACTATATTTCATTGGTTTAGGAAATATCTAATAAATTATGCAGTTGAAATAACCAAGAACAATTGGCACAAACAGGATTGGAAACAAACAATATCTAAATCTCGGCCAACACATGACTCAGTTGGTAGGAAGCAGAGGGCTTGGGCATGCTGGAGAATAACCTGCCAGCCTTGAGCACTTGGTCTGCCAAAGGAAGAAGGGCATTCAACTGTCATATCATTTAAGCAAAAACAAGTCAAGAGAGTATCTACCGTACTCTATTCTTTGTGTACCAAGAAGAGGTATCTGGAAGAAATGAATTTGTGCTCATCATCTCCCTTGGGTCCATTGCAATCAAGGATACACATGGGCAATCAACCTGACATAGATTAGCATACAGCCTTTGGTCTTAAAACAGCACAAGGTTCACTGGCTCAGGGCCAATCATCTTGGTCTCCTTAGATCCCAGATCTACCCATCTGAACTGTACTGTCCCAGCCACAAGTCCACAAAGGGCCAAACGAACTCTACTGGGCCCAGAAATCTTGTTTTTTCCATCTCCAGGATGGATCCCCCTTCCCCACCACTTCTACAACCATCACACTTTGGAAGAATTACTCACAGATTCTCAGAGAAGACATAAGATGTCCAACTAACGTTGGATGGACCCTACCACAGCATGAATCATTTTTTATAATAGTGAGTCAGGGAAACTTGGAAATCCTACCTTTATAGTGCTCCCTTAAGAAGGGTAACCTCTAAGTAGAGTTAAAATTTGTACTTCCTGAGGCTCCTGGGTGGCTGAGTTGGTTAAGCATCCAGCTTCAGCTCAGGTCAAGATCTTGAGGTCCATGGGTTCGAGCCCTGCGTTGGGCTCTGTGCTGATGGCTCAGAGCCTGGAGCCTACTTCGGATTCTATGTCTCCCTCTCTCTTTCTGCCCCTCCCCCACTCACATGTCTCTGTCTCTCTCTGTCTCTCTCTCTCAAAAATAAACAAACATTACCAAATTTTTAATTTGTATTTCCTATTGATCATGCTGAAAGTACTGACACCACTTTGTGGCTGCTGTCAGACACAAACATGAAGGAAGCCATCCTTGGTCATCGCCCCTGAAGAAAAGAAGACTGTTCCATAAACAGAGACTCAAGAAAACCCCATAGAGAAATTCCACTGTAATATTGTATGAAAATCATGCAGCAGCAGAAACATCAACCTATCAGATGAGAGTTTCGTCTATATAAAGCCAAATTGGGATCATTTCAGTTGAACCGGTCTCATGGTAACATCAGAGATTCAGATGTTTCCTCTGGTGCTGGTTTAGAAGCAACAGAGGGCTGAGTTCAGCGAAAGAACATGAGTTTCGCTGTTTCTTCTGTGGCAATCCCACAGTCGAGTAATGAGCAAAGGTGGATTGCATTTTGGATTAATTATAAGAACAAATTAAATTAAAAATCACACCAAATCCCCTTTGACTCTTGCTCTTAATTTTCCTCCTCTTCTGCTGCATTTTAATTTTAAGTGGCATAGACTACAGCTATCGCCCCCCACGCTAGTTATTTCTTTTCTCTCACTCCCGTCCTCCCTCGCTCGTGCATCAGCTGCACTGGGCCCAATCTGTGAGCCTGGGCACTGACAGCCATGGGAGCCAGGCTCCTTGTTCATCCATCCCTTTGTCTGGCTGTCAGGGCAGCAGAGCAATGACCTTGGCTCCCAGGGAAGTCCTGGCAACAGCAGGCTCTCTGAAGACCACGTCCCTCTCAGGGCTTGGTCCTCTCTGTCTACCCCACGGCCTCCTCTACTGTCTTCTTCTTCTGTGTGTGGAAAGCTGGCTTTGTTTTTCTGAAATGGTGTTTCATACACTCATGGTCCTTTCCCCTGAAATCCAGAAGGGCATTCAAAAACCTCCTTCTAGAAGTGTTTCCTCAGCTCGCTCTCTGTTCAGATGCTGAGCTCTTGAATCTGTGCTAGTTTCTTAGGTGGCATGGAGACATGAACTTCAATATGGTGGAAGGACAGACCCTAAAAAACGACCTCATGGAGAAAATGCATAGATAGTTAACACCACTTATATTATAGCCAAAATGTATGAGATGCGCCCAAAAAATGATTGCCCCTGCCTGGCCGGAGACAATTCCAGCTCAAGGTAAATTTTTTTTAAAATATGTTTTAGTGAGCTCTCTTCAAGTATTCTTCCCTCCCTGCCTCCCAAAAAAAGATCTAGTGACTTCCTTCTCTTAATAAGCAGGTAAAAGAATTCCTCGGACAGTCGCCATGGAACTGGGCCTTCTTCAGATCAGATAAGCCCAACACTCCACCACCTTCTGTCTAGAACCATCAGTTCCAAACTTAGCATGAGCAGAAAGAATAATCTATGATGTCAGACCATCATCGTGGGACATTTTCTTCAATGGACCAAAGTGATAGGTTGAAGGGCTTTTTAATAGATGTTCCTAAAAACATAATAAGAAGCGACCCCACCCCTTCCTCATTTGCTTTAAAAATGGGTATAGGGGGAAAAATGATCTGTCTCAACCCAAGAATATAATAACACTGCCTCTCTTTCCTTGTTTTAGGGAATGCTGTCGATTTTTTGGAGACAATGGCTTGACTTTGAAGGTGTTTTTTACAAAGGCAGCACCCTTTGGTGTTCTTTGGACACTCACAAACTACCTGTACTTACATGCAATAAAGAAAATAAACACTACGGATGTCTCCGTCTTATTCTGCTGCAACAAAGCTTTTGTGTTCTTGCTCTCATGGATCGTTCTCAGGGACAGGTTCATGGGAGTGAGGGTAAGTTCCTTATTCTCTGTCTTCCTCCCTCGCTCGATCATGTCTACCAAAACCTGCCCATTGGCTTGCTTAGCTCCATGCGCTGCATCATAAGCATAAACTGCTGACCACTTCCCTTCTGATTTGAAGCAGAAAAGGGGGCCCCGGCTGAGGGCCCAGTTCTTGGTGTGCCTTGCAAACTCTCTTGCTTGCAAACCATCCTAGACCAGCATTCATTAAAGCACCGTTCATTTCAAGCATTCCAACAAGCATTCCCTACAGTTTGTGCCAGTTGGGGACCCGCCCAGGGGATAGTGATGCATTTCCTCTCTGCGTGCTTTCTCTCTCTCTCCTGGGCAGCAGTGCCCTCCAGCCTGGAGCCCTCTGCTAACCTTGTCACCCTTTGCTTAGGATGCATCCGAAAGCCTGAGGATCCTTCCGCATCCACATACATATGTGTGTAGTCTTGTTGGCCCTTTGTCTGGACCGTGTGTACAAGCCAAAGTGGGCCAGATACACTTAGGCTAAATCCAGATTGTAGAGGGCCAGTTTCATCTCCTTCACACCCCAGGCGAAGGGAGAGGGTGGTTCTGTCCTTTGAATTACCTCGTGTTGTTGGATCAGATCCGAGACTTAGTAAATTCCGTCAAGAGCTAGTCAAACTCAGCCAGTCAAATTGCATAACAGTTGTGTGAAATATGACAAATGCACTATCAACTCTCAGGTGTTAAAGCAAGGGACTCACCCTGAATAAAAGCACGAGGTGACAGTTCAGTTGACAGAATCCTGATGGCCTCTGCTTGCCTCCCTCTGGTGGCCAGGAGCTGCTACTGCCCCATCACCACGCCGTGAACAAGCACAAAAGATTTGGCCACGCAGCTAGTTGACAGGGCACATCACTTACTCCTTCCTGCACCTTCAGGCCATGTGGGCCGGCCATGCAGCTGAGAGCCCTTTTGATGGGCAGCCCCGTGACCGTGAACCACAGAGGCATCCAGCAAGGGGCAGCCTCCACTCCAGGCCCTCCACTGTGTCCTTTGCTCATTGTCCTGGGAACAATGACATCACCCTGATGGAGGATTCACACCCACCTAGTTACTCAAACAGCAGTGGGGACATGAGTCAACTGCTGAGTAGTATTTTTAGCTTGCAGTCGGGGGAAATTTTGTTTTGAGGCTCAGTGTTAATTTTGGAATTAAAACTCACTCGCTGTGCTACCACCCAGAAAAGCTTTCAGCAAATAAATGATCTAATACATCACCACAAGAAACACAAGTACTTCCAGCAGTAATCTATTCAACAGCCTACCTGACTGGACACGGCAGACTCCAGTGACCTGGGTCCCACTGTGACTTTATTTTGATGCAACGTGCCAAGGGAATTCAGGAAGCTCTTCGACCTGATTCTGATGTCCAAAGAAAATTCCAAATGAGACTCTATTAATTGGGAAGAGAAACTTCAAGGTGAATTCCGCACCTAAGTTGGATATTCCTTTTTTTTTTGAGCTTAAGAGAAGTAGGTGGGAAACTACTTGAAACCCTCCTACACTCATAGAGGACAAGATGGCACACCCAGATCTTTTCTTTGTTGCTATTCATGGATAGGAGGGTTTTGTCCCCTGACATCCCTTGAACTACAATCCTGTCTAGCCGTCCTTGCCACTTGGTCAGTTCGGTCCGTCCTGACCACTTTATACTGAACAAAATTTTGTGTTGAAGCCATCACTAGGCCAGCACTGAAATGAGGGTCCCAGAAGCTGGGGTCGGCAATGAAATTTTGTAACCTGTAAAGTGCTGTTCAGCTGTGGTCTCTTTAATCAGCATTACTCCTCTGAGAAGCTTGTGACCCCCCCACCCGCCATCCAAGATCTTCCCACTCCAAGTCATGGTATATTCCCCTCTTCTCCTCTTTAAGAATTCAGAGAGCTAGCAAAATCCGTGAGACCCCAGCAGCGGTCAGAGCGATGGAAACTTCCCCCTTGGTAACAGGTGGAAACCTAGGTCCAAGATAAAATCTAACTGGTGCAAGCGTTCTTTTAGATTCCCCTGACTGCTGGGTTAGCCAGCACGAAAGTTCCAGACATTGAAGGAAACAGACAGTGTTCCCCATCCTGGGGGCTGAGCATCTGAGGTGGAGAGTCACACAGATATAAGACGAAGGAGCATCAACTTTATGTTTATGGGAACAGACTGCACAGAGGATCTGCATCATTACGACAGTTACTCGCATCGCAAGGGTTGTGGTTCGTGGAAAACATCAACTGTTCCAGGTCACATGGGCTGACCAAGAAGAGGCAAACGTATCTTCTCACGCCGGGGAGATCTGGCCACTTCAGGCATCAGAGGTGGCTGTTGAAAACAACTCAAGTTGGCCACTATGTCGACTTTGACCTGTGCTTAGATGGGCTTTCCGTATGTCCCCCCCGACTCTCCAGATTCAGGGTTTCTGATGCAATAGGGAGATGCTCTAATCTAGACTTGAGGGACTAGGCTTTGGGCCTTGATTCCATTCTTACAAGCTGTTAGGCCTTGAGCAAGTTACTTAACGTCTCCGAGCTTTCATTACTCGTTTTATAGGACAGTTGTGAGAATAAAATAAGATGATGCGTGCCTGGCACATAAAACCCAGTAACTGTTATCTTTCCCAGCATTGTTATTTTGATTATTCCTTCTCGACTGGAGGGCTTTGTTGGATCAGCTCCGTTCTTCTGGCGACAGTCCCGGAAGCTGACAAATGTCTAAGGAGGCAGTTTTGTGTAGCGAAAGCAGCGGTTGAACAAAAGCAGGTAGAACTCAGGGTGTGAAGAATGGCCTCTCCTAAAGCCGAGACCCACCCAGCTGTGCTCAGCAGCTGGATAAAGAAGCCTTGTCTGGGTGAGACCCGCTTCTCGATGGAAACGGAAGATGGGATCTTTTGTTTCCTCAGCATCTGGTCATAACTGTGGTAGCTGGGGCTTTCTAGCCAGGAGGGACTGAGGCAGAAGCAAGACAGCAAGCTGAGAGCTCATCACGTGGTCCCCCGAGTCCCAACAGCCCATTCCTGGGGATCCCATGCTTTTTCCAAAGACCAGCTCCCATTTCAGATTCCAGCCGATGTTTGCAATATGACGGTGCTTCTCGGTGCCGCCCAAGGGGCCATTTCCAAACGGTAGCTCCAACTTCGGATCTGACTGCCTTCTGTTTGGGAGGCTGCCCCCTGCCGCTTGAGCACAGCCGGGGGATGACCCAGAGCATGGGGGAGCACTTCAGGGCTTACAGCCAGCCCCTTCCCATGCTCTGAAATCGGAGGAGTCACCTAGAGAGAGGATCCCCACCAAACTCCCATAGTCTGAGTGGGGAAGAGTGGTCAGGAGCTGGGAGGGTTAGAGTTAGGGAAAGTATATTTAAAATGTGTCCTTTCCATTCCTCAAAATTGCCCCCGACTGTCCACATCCGCAGTGTAGCACCCGGGGCTCAGTTGGGCAGAGGGCGTGTAGCCCATCGCGGTCTGGGCAGAGGGGAGAGCAGAGCCCATCTGAGAGGTGGCCCAACTCTACAGTGCTGCACCCGGCGTTCCGCCTAGATGCTCGAGGGCTTTACCTCCTTCCCCTCAGCCTGACATGGGAGAGGGGACAGTGTGGCCACGAGGGAAGCAGGGTACATCACTGAGTGGCTGGGGTTCTGAATTCAGAGCCCACGGGGGCCAGGCAGGCTCTGGTGGGGTCACCATGCGAAGCAAGGCCACCAGTAAGAGGGTAATTGGCACCACCCTGGCCTCGGTGTCTCCTGTGTCTCAGTCCCCTCCCCCTCCAGCTGAAGAAGGGATGGTGGCTCTCACCCTTGTTGGTCTTAGAGCCACCGTCACCCATCAGTTTGAAGCCCTGAGTCCCTGTTTAGGAACAGGTCAATGGGCTACATGGAGGGGGTGGTGGAAGGTGGGAGAAAGGAGGCCCGGGGGAAATTCAGCTGTCTACTTTGCTTTATTTTCTCCTCAAACTCAGCATTCTCCCCCAGGGACACCCTGATCTAGACGACAAGGGGCATGTGAAACCACAGGACAGGCGTGTCTGGCCTTCCCGGAAAGTACATCGTAATGCAGGAAATACGCAACGAAACATTTCCAGGTGTAAACCAAGAACCCCAGATATGTTACGATATAAACGTAAAGTATGCACGCATTTAAAAAAAATTTTTTTAATGTTTCACATTTATTTTTGAGAGAGAGACACACACACACACACACACACACACACACACAGAATCTGAGCTGTCAGCACGGAGCCCAATGCGGGGCTCAAACCCACGAACCATGAGATGGTGACCTGAGCCAAAGTTGGACACTTAATGGTCTGAGCCCCCCAGACGCCCCTGCACATATTTTTGAAAGACAGAACTAGGATCTTGAAAGAAATGTCCATCTTGAGGAAGGACTTCCAGGCTCCGCGCCCCAGATCCATAGGGTGTTTCAGCCCTGCCCTGTGTCGGGGGGCATGAAGAGTGAGCTGAGCTCCAGCACTGTGGGTGCGCCCCAGGCTCAAGGCTAGGGGGTCCCATCAGGACTGCTGGTGCCAGGAGAACGGGTGCTTACAGTGGAGCTCACGGGAGTCCCCGGTGACTTGTGTCAGAGACTCCCAGGAGGAGAACTGGAGGTCTGAGCTGGGAGGAGACCCACAGTCCCCTGGGGCCACCTGTCAGCATGAACTCTTGGGGCCTCGACTCCCCAAGTACTGACTGGAAGGCTCTCCCTGTTACCCCTCCAGCCCCTTCCCTCTGCTCTTCTGCACAGCACAGCCCAGGCGGAAGCTTTCAGCCCTTCATTATTTAACCAGTAGGGAAGGCAGAGCAAGAGGCTGGAGACCAGCCTGCTAAGCCTTCGGGAGAAAAGAAGCCCCTGATCTCCTTCGTTTCCTTGACACTTCAGCCCCAAGTTTGAAAAGCCTCAACTGCCTTTGGAGCTGCACCGAATCATCCGACATGCAGCTATTTTCTTCCCTCCCTCTTTTTTCTAGTTATTTTTCTATCTGCGGACCTTCAATGCCCAGCCAGGTTGAACTGTTCCAGGCAGCACACTGTGCGTGTGTCCCCTGGACCAGAAGCCACCCTCTTCCGCTGCCGGCCTTATCGCTTGCCCCTCTCTTCGTATGAAGGGGGAAGAAGCTCCTTTATTGTCTTACTATCTCTGTTTCTTTCTCTACGTGACCAGTTGTGCACAGTACGGGTAGCATTTGAATATGCAATAGATTCAAGGGACGATGCAGAATGAAGCCTCTCAGTGACAGCGAGTTCCTAACCCTGAAAAGGACAAGTAGGCAGACACAGGCCTGCCTGGTCTTCTCTAGCAAACGACCGTCACCTGCTCCCTCCAGAGCCTCTGTGTTCTAGGCACAGATTTACCATGACAAGGAAGTACTGCATAAGGAATATACCAGAAATAGGTAACTCACACTGCATGAGACTCAACCACATTACCCTTCACTAACCTGAACATGTTATGTTTAAGCCGCAAAGGAAACCTCCGTTCAACTCTCAGAGAGTGTGGTTGACGGCGGCATATTACGTGAACCATCCTTTCCTGTTTAGACTTTGCAATCAGACAGACCTGAAATTTGGCGTCCCGGCTCAGCCACACACCAGGGCTTTGACCTTGGACGAGTTACGTAGCCTCTCTGAGCCAAAATCTTCACGTTTACAAAATGAAATGAATGATCATATCTACCTACTCTGAGATTTAAATGAGAAAATACGTAGAAAACACTTCTCCCGTGACCACCGAGTTAGTAAATGGCGACTGTCTGATATTGTTGCAGGTAGCCGAGGTCAGTTTGCATGATCCGTTAAGAGAAAGTGCTCAGTGAATCCAGTAGTGTAAACTTGTATTGCACACATTTGTTCCGGCCTCCCCGTGTTTTGCTTACAGCATCCCCCTCCGCACTTCACACCAGCGACATTTAGGTAGCTCCCTGACCACCTCGGGTTCAAACGTGTCCTTATTCTCTGTGCTGATGCATTCCTCCTTGGCGAAATGTTATCCCACGGAGCTAGTCCCCTGGGTCATCCGACAGTCTTATTGTGCGCAATGGCAGGAACGTGTACATCTCCCTGGAACGGCCATTCAACTCAAGAAGTCTGTATCCGGATAATGACAGGATTAAGAGGGTGCAGAGTGAGGGATGGCCCTGCAGCAGCTAAGAAAAGGAGCTGCGCCCCCAGGGTTAGGACACTGTTGCCCTTTGGCACATGACACTTGCTCTATCAGAAGACCCTACTGCTGGCGAGTTAACGGGGCCAAGATCTGTGCCCTCTCTCTGTTGAGATACAAAGTGAGTAAAAGCAAGATCACATGAGGCGCCTTCAGAAGGTTGGGAAGGAACTGAGGCGATTTCCAGATGTTGTCTACCAAGCCTTGTCACGGCCAAACCGCTGTTGGCATTCTGGCCACCTCCCCTGTGGTTCCCGAGGCTGACAGTGACGGGTCACCACAGGATGCTGGGCCTCAGCGTGTCTCCTTGCGGCCAACCATCCCAGGTTCCTTGGTGGCACCAAGCTTTACTGAGCAAGAGCAGAGACCTCGCTCATTCTCCAGAGACCTGGAAAGGAGGTCTTCCCTTTCCCTTCCCTCCCATTACTGAACTTCCATGAGCTTTTCTACCTCATTCACCCCCTGGCGGCCCATCAGATTTCCCACCACTACCCTCACCGCTGTCTTCTTCCTTCTGTCCAGATTGTGGCCGCCATCCTCGCCATCGCTGGGATCGTGATGATGACCTATGCGGATGGCTTCCACAGCCACTCGGTCATCGGCATAGCGCTGGTGGTGGGCTCTGCATCCATGTCTGCCCTCTACAAGGTAAGTGTGTGCGGGGCAAGCTCTCTGAGCTTTCCCAGGAGAGAACAGCAGGCCTCTGCATGGCTGGCCCGGCACTTTTGGGGCGCCTTGATGGCACTTGGTTTTAAGATGAGCAGCAAACAGACTTGTAGTAATGGAGGCGTGCACCCGTTCTTGGCTTTGGCTCTCTAGATCTTTCCATCAACGGCCATATCTTTGCAGTACTAGGGATAACATAGATGGAACAGTGGATCGGCAGTGTCAGATTTTAGTGACTTCATTGTTTGGCAAGGACTGGAGAGTATCAGGGGCCCTAAAGGGCCGCTTCAGTGTTTGGGGAGATAATTTTCCACCAGGTTCGATGTGAAGATTTAAATATCTGGTGCAGCCTTGTCAGTGAAATCTCTTATCACATGGTTTTTGCTCAGCATGAATTCATAATGCATTTTAAGCACCACCCAGAGATCCAAGAAACAACTACGATATGGGAATGATAATGTATTTTTGACAAAATGTTGGGAAGCACTGGAAAGCATGTCCCAACTGCAGATCTGGATGAGACCATTTAAAAAAAAATTTTTTTTTTAATGTTCATTTATTTTTGAGAGAGAGACAGAGTACAAGCAGGGGAGGGGCCGAGAGAGAGGGAGACACAGAATGGGAAGTAGGCTCCAGGCTCTGAGCTGTCAGCACAGAGCCCGATGAGGGGCTTGAATTCATGAACCTCAAGATCATGACCTGAGCCGAAGTCAGTTGCTTAACCAACTGAGCCACCCAGGTGCCCCTGAATGGGACCATTTTTGATCCCTGCTCTCTCCTTCCCCACCCCATCATGGCTCCTGACTGCTCTCGCTCCTCCTTCCCTTTCTTCCTCTCTCCTTCTTTTATATCCACGGTGAAGAATGCAAAATAGTCTCTGGCCTCCAAGCTGGGAACCCGACCTGGAAGATTCAATGAGGAGTGAGGACTTAGCTTTGAGACTTACTGGCCTTTTGTGGATCCAGACAGGAGGACAGAGAGAAGGAAGTATGGTAGAGAGGTATAAGAAAAGGCACCTTTTTCCCAGCTCTATGCATAAAATGTTTTGTGGTTTTGGGATGCGAAATAACTGTGCCTTCCCAACCTTCATCAGCTCCCCGCCCTCACTGCCCACAGAGAGATGCGCACACGCCATCTCCCTTCTCTGGAATGCAGCTCGCCACAAGGATGCGATAGGCCCACACCACTCTGAGACTTCAAAGCCACTATTCAAATGCAGAAAATAGGACAAGGCCACACTCAATCAACTGCGTGCTAATGGGAAGCAGAGAGCATACGGAAATGCAGTCAATCCACAATGAACACAAATAATGCTGATTTCTACTCCCATGACCCATCTCGTCCACTGCCCCATCTTTACTCAGAGGGTCCAGTGGGTGGAAGGCCATAAGCAATTTATTTCCCTTTTCATGCTCCTTGCACGTATGCCCAGAAATACCTGAAGGATTTGTGAACTGGCTGAAAAAAGGAAGAAGCAGGCAGAGAAGGAAGAGACTCAAGCTGGACTCACATCAGTTAGTTCCCTGGTTGTGGATCGTTCCCTGAACACGGGGGCCGCTGCCTCTATAATCCCAGCTTCCCGGCCACTCCAGGCACCTCTATCCGTCTCTTTCCGGCCCTCACACACTTGAAATACGTACAAACAAGAACAGGTGTAAGAAATCAGAGTGGGACGCATTCCACTATAATCCATGCCGTTTCTGGAACGGGATGGTGGGATGGAGCAGAGATGAGCTGTGAGTGTTAAAGTCCCTCTGCCTTCGATTTGTAGAAAATGTTTTTTCAGTCAAAGCTCTTTCTGCTGGGGTCAAGCTGTGTTGTGCAGAGTCAGAGATCCGCAAGAGGACTGTGTCGTCATGGCAGCCACTTCTAATGCCTGTGGCTTCCTCATCTTCAGACTCTCTGAAGCTGAGATGTCATATCATGAATACAGCACAGACATGGGTACCTGGGGGGCTCAGTCAGTTGAGCATCTGACTTTGGCTTGGGTCGTGATCTCATGGCTCGTGAGTTCGAGCCCCACGGCTGGCTCTGTTCTGACAGCTCAGAGCCTGGAGCCTGCTTCCCATTCTGTGTCTCCCTCTCCATCTCAGCCTTTACCCACTTGTGCTCTGTGTCTGTCTCTCTCTTTGAAAAATAAATAAACATTAAATGAACACAACAGAGACAAATCAAGCCTAGAGTGAAAACCCATGAGCCCTGCAGATGCCTTCTCTGAGGCCAGAGATCCAGAACTCTCCATTGTGGCACTACTGAGATTTGGATATGTGTACAGGTGCTCATAGGTCACACCCCACCACCTTCTCCAGGAAGCCTAGTGAGGTAGGATTTACCCATTACGTGGCTGCTCTCCTGTGGTCCAGCCCAGCCTTATCAGGTGTACTCTACTTCCCCTGACAAGGGGACATCCGGGGCGAGCCTTCACCCACCCTCCTCTGCTTTCTCTGGCAGGTTCTGTTCAAGCTCCTCCTGGGCAGTGCTAAGTTCGGAGAAGCCGCCTTATTTTTGTCCATTTTGGGTGTGTTTAACATCCTCTTCATCACCTGTATTCCCATCATCCTCTACTTTACCAAAGTGGAATACTGGAGCTCTTTCGATGACATTCCATGGGGCAACCTTTGTGGATTTTCAGTCCTCTTATTGAGTAAGTGGCCAGCGCCCTGTCCGAATGCCCGCCGTCAGAAGCGGGGATGGATGAGCAGGACTGGGATCTGGAAACCCGTGCCCTGAAGAAGAAAACCATTTTCTTCTTACACTTAAGTTCCCTGGGCTTTTCAAGATCGTTGAGTCTTTAAAGACTGTTAAGTCTTGGTAAAGATGGCCCTGGATTCTAATTCAGAGCCACAGTCGAGGCAGTAGTAGCCATAGTCACTGCCCCTCTGAATAGTGGTGCATCTGACCTGCTGAGAACAGAATAATCCCTATAGGACCGGGAGGGAATTGGCAAATAATACGTGCAGAGTTCTTAGAACATTGTCTGATATGCATCAATGTCCAATTAATATTATCAGTTACCATTACGGTTAATACCAGCATCACCATTACTTGATGGAAGGCTGGTCCTAGGCAGAAAAGTAGCCAAGAAGGTGCCTTGCCCAGTTTCCATCTAACAGTGCATGACCCAAAGCACCTGCCCATAGTCACTGCTGGCAAAACGCACTGGGATGTAGGGTGAGTAGGGTGCCCCCAGCCCTCTTTTCCAGTGCCTTTCCTTTCTTCAGAGCTCAGGGAAGGGGGGGAGGCTACATAATCAGAGTGTTTGACCCTAATCTCCACCCAAGTCACTGAGTCAGAGCAAAGGGCAGTGGTAACTCCTGTGACTCCAGCCTCATCAGAGAAGGGGGGGTGGGACAGACCGGGGAGGCTGTAAAGTTCAGGACCAGTCACGAATAACCCCCTTTTTCTGTTCTTTATTTCAGCATTCAATATTGTATTAAATTTTGGAATTGCTGTTACGTATCCCACTCTGATGTCTGTTGGAATCGTCCTCAGTGTACCTGTAAATGCAGGTAAGCCTGTATGGCTTCCTATATTTGCTTGTACACGTACACACACACACACACACACACACACACTCACACACACGTATGCAACTTACAAACACGCATACTCACAGACCCTCTTGCTGTGCCTGCTATGGAAAGCATGTTTAACCTTCTGTATAGGAAGAAAGCACTTAGGGCGCCTGGGTGACTCAGTCAGTTGAGGGTCTGACTCTTGATTTCAGCTCAGGTCATGTTCTCACAGTTCGTGGGACCAAGCCCTGCATCAGGCTTCACGTTGACAGCACAGAGCCTGCTTGGGATTTTCTCTCTCTCTCTCTTTCTCTCTCTCTCTGTCCCTCCCCTACTTGTATTTATTTATTTTGAGAGAGAGAGTAAGGTGTGCTCACTCTCTCAAAATAAATAAATAAACTTTAAAAACCAAAAGAAAGTGAGCACTTAGGTACAAAAATGTTGGTGTTTGTCACATATATGGTATTTCTCCGGAATGCACGGATTTTCACTTAGCACACCAAAGTACAGCTAGTCTCAAGCCATCTCAGTGCTAACTGGCGTGAGGACCAGAGACGAATATCATTAATATAATAATAAGTATGGAAAAATAGCAGGAAAAAAATTTAATTTTTGTAAGTGACTTCCTGGGGCAGAAAATGTGCTCAGGGTGTGAGGGTTACAGTGAAGAGTTTACAGACTGAAGAGGCACAGCGAGAAAGCGAGCGCCCTTTCCCCGGTTACTCGGGACCTTGCTTTGTTTTCCGCTGGGGACTCACCAATGCACCAAGTTGGCAGCTCTTCCAAAATGTGTTGCCAACGGCCCCTCACCTTCTTCCTTTCCTGGCTCGTTCCAGTGGGAATTTTAGAGTCCCCTCCTCACACCTGATGTCCCTGTATAACCTGTTCTTAGCCAAAGAAGGGTTTGGAAATCTGTTCTCTCCGTAGCACTCACCCCCTTGGCCCTGGTACAGCTCCCTCCAAAGCCACTTCCAGAACTCTCCCTCTGCCAGGCCATTAGAGGATTAGCCCCCGGGGAGTGGCAACCCCTTGTCCTGTTCAATATGGCGTCAGTAGGCAGAACAGCTCTCAACTTCCTACGCCTTTTCCCATGATCTGGTTCCTTGCCGCTCCTGTCCCACATGGTCTGTGGAGGCCTCATGAGGCCCCAGACCCTTCTAGGGGTTTCAGGGCAGTGTGTGGGAAAAGGTTTGGCTGGGATGTTGGCACCCACTCTGCCCACCTGAACGATGGTGGTCCCAACTCATCACCTCGCTGGGCCTCCACGCGTCTCCCCTAAATGTGAAGGTAGTACCTCTCCTCAGTCAACATCTCAAAAGGCTGAATGCTCCAGAGCCTCCGGAGAGCCAGTAAACAGTAGTCTAGACTGTGAGCCTCCAAACGCTGCTCCCTCCTGAAAAATAGCTTCTCAACTTACGCCCACCCCTTACGGCATCTTTATAGTCATGGTGTTCTACCTGCGAGAAGGCAGATCACAGGTGGCTCCTAGATGGGTGCTCACTTTCACCGTATCATACAGCCAGGTGTTTGAGAGAGAGATCAGGATCATTTCTCATTACTCGCCTGCAACATAAGGGGTTTGATTATGCCTCAAAGGAAGGGATCGCATTCCATTTTCAATCGGAAGAGAGGAGCAGAGAAGTCTGCCATTACCTGTTGTGTCAGAGCAGAGCCTTTGGGTGGTTGCCCGACTCTCCCTGATGCCTGTCCCTGGCGCAGCCCACGGGCCCGGCTAATTGACTATCCCCCGTCTGTCGAATTCACAGAATGTTCTGCCATTATTAAAAATTAAAGCCTTGCTGAATTACAGTGAGATACAAGAGGCACTTTAATTCCACAAAAGGGCTACTAACAATTTTTTTTTTCAGTTTTAACTTTTATCCCTTTGTCTTTCTCTGCCTGTCCTATAGACAAGGTGAGAGGGAGGGGAGGTTGGGGGGGGGGCAGGGAAAGTGGAGGCCCGTGAGGGAGAAGGACAGAGCCAGGCCATGCCCAGGGCCACATCCTGGACCCAGAGGTGGAAAGTTGGCAGACTGCAGGCCAGCAAGGTGGTTTTCAAAGGCGGCGTGCTCTAAGTCAGCAAACGCTCTTTCACCGAGTGATTTAAAAGAAAGCAGTTGGCATCTCTTGTGTAGAAGGTGGCCTCCAAATTTGCTTTGTCTGGTTTTAATTAAGAAAACAGGGAAATAAAACCAAAAAAAGAAAAAAGAAAAACCTTGATGTCCCCTTAATCCTGTGTTCCCTCACCCGATGTGGGTGAGGTATGAGCCCTATGCCCCGTGGACCTTTAATAAACTTGAATAGTCAGTGACAGCCCAGGTAGCTTTAGAGCCTCCTGCTAATGATGGCCTGGGGCAGAACAAGAAATTGTCTCTATTATCTTCAAAACACCAGTGTGAGTTTGGTCTTCAAACTGTATATATGCATATATTGGGAAATGACGCTTTTAAATTACAAGTATAAACTGTCATCGTAGAAAACATGAAAAGTACCAAAAAAATAAAGAAAGTCATAGTGTTTTCATTATCCTGCCACCCAGGGGTGGCCAAAATTAATCTTCAGGGTGTGTGTGTGTGTGTGTGTGTGTCTGTGTCTGTCCAACTGCCCCCTGCCATTTGCTTTGTCTGTCACATAAATCAGTGTCTGAACTAAGGTGCTGGGTCAGTTTGAGGAAGTGAGATACAAGCACCAGGCTTCACACCAAGGCGGTGTTTTAAAATTAAGAGGCAGTCCCTGCCCGCAAGGAACAAAGCCACACCGAGGAAGATTCTGTGGTCAAGGAAGACCACTTCCTGCCGGCCCGCACGAGGAGACGCCCCGGCCCTGCGCCGGGCTCACCTCCCCGTAACCCGGCTTTTCTGTGTCCCGTGCAGTGGTTGATCACTACACCAGTAAGATCGTCTTCAACGGGGTCCGGGTCATCGCCATCATCATCATCGGCCTGGGCTTCCTCCTCCTGCTCTTGCCCGAGGAGTGGGATGTCTGGTTGATCAAGCTGCTCACCCGCCTCAAAGTGAGGAAGAAGGAGGAGACGGCGGAGGGCGCCGCAGACCCGGGCTCGGGACCTCAGAGCAAGAACAGAAGAGCCCGCCCTTCGTTTGCCCGCTGACCGAGGCCCCCCAGAACTCTGGGGCGAACGCTCACGCTCGTTGTTAGTGACTTGGGGGGGGGTCTCTTCCTGGCGGGGGTCCCTCACTTCGGTAAGGTGTACATACCTGTACAGTTCCGGTAATCTGCGGTAAGTTATATGGTATTTATTGGCATGTCCAATTTGCTTGCACTTTTTCCACATCAGACCTTTCACCTAAGGTTACCAATTCAAGATGAAAGAGACCAGAAGGGCCTCTCGGCCCTTTTTCAATGAATGTAAGGCTGGTTACGACTACCCTGGCATTGGTTGTCTTGGGGATGACGAGAGGCAGGGCCAAGTGTTCTGAATCTTAGCAACTGAAAAATTACATTGCACACTGTGATTACTTTTCAGCTATGGTAGGGTCATATTTTGTTTTATACCAGAGCTGTATTCTTAATTTTAAGGGATCTCAATGAACCAAAAGCTAACTGTTCAGTTAATCTGGACGGACGGAGGGACGGATGAGGATGTCAAGAGGTGACGCGGAAAAGGAAAACGGACTTTGGAACCCATCGACTGTGGACTTAACCTCGGGCCGACAGTTGGAGGGGGACAGGCCCGAGCCGGGTGACAGAGAGGGAAAGAGACGTCCAAGCCCCAGCTGGCCCCAGTGTAAGATCATGCGCGAGAAATTACAGTGCCTTCTACAGAATTTTCGTCTTTACCTATGTGAAGCGAGGTGACATTGTAAGTCACTGGCGCCGTCTTATCATTTAGATGTAAAAATCTTTAGAAACCAATAAAACTATATGTGTGTGTGTATGTGTACAAAAAATGACGAGCCGGTGACCGGTGTAATGGTACATGGTTAGCAGTGTGCAATGCACATACAAGGTAGGCTGTGCCGGAGGTGGATTGCTGATTGCTTTCACTTCACGACCAAGATTGAAAAATTTCTTCCTGAACCTGTAAACCTTTTTATGAAACTTTTAAAGCACCAGGCTGTTTACGTACACAATCTAGGTCTGCCAGAAAACTTCTATCTGTGATAGATCTTGTAAAGAGGGACAAGGGGGTTAGAGTTTACTATTTTTGAAGTTTACATTGTTACATACGAAATGGAAACCTTATTTTGAAATGTTGTCATAACCCAATGGTGCACTCTGTTACCCATGGAGTCTTTCGTTTCATAGGGGAAAGGGGCATTCGTGACCTGAACTTTTTAGCAGATTATTATTCTCAGTTTCCATTACCTGTTTGGCCAAACAGATTAATAAACTATTTCAAAACGAAGCATGGTGTGCTGTGTTGGTGGCCACTTTGTTGAATTCCCACACCCACACCCCCACCACTCCCACCAACCTCCGTTCCCAGCAGGTCCCAACCTCCCACACCATCAAGGCACGGAAACCCACCCAACCACCTCCAGGGGAGAAGATTCTCACTGGAAAAACAGAGGTCACAAAAGCAAAATGCAAAATGGCCAGTTGAGCCTCATAGAAAACGTCTTGAGGCAACTTCTCCCTCCCCTCCTCCTCTCCATCACCCCCCTCTCCTTTCCCTCCAGGCGCCTGCCCCCTACTATGCTCTGGACATTGCTTCTGTCTCTCTTTTCAGCACAGACTGCTTCCTCAGCTCGGCTTTCACTCATAGCTGCCTCCAAGTGGCGGCCTCAGGCACCATGTTGACGCCTTCTTCCAGCTCCACTCCCTCCCACCCCTCACTTCTGCCTCGGTGTCCTAACCTCGTTCTAGCTCCGTAAAGATTTTGCGATACCAGCTTCAGTGTTCTGTTCCAAGTAGCTGCAGCCGGGGGCTCTAAGGTCCCATGTCTCTCATTCTGCAGCTACAAATGGCCAGGTGCTCTGAGGGGGGGAGGTGTGGGCAGAGAGGAGGTGACAAGCCTCTTCAGGACACGTCACCCTGCCAGCCACACCTAGAACAACTATACACCATGCACCACTTGCTCCTGGGGGTCAGAACTGGTGAGCTGATGCTCGACATCACTGATCATCGGGGAAATACAAATCCAAACCACAATGAGACACCACCTCACACCTGTCAGAGTGGCTAACAGGAACAAGTCAGGCAACAGCAGATGTTGGCGAGGATGCTGAGAAAGAGGAACTCTATCGCACTGCTGGTGGGAATGCAAACTGGGGCAGCCACTCTGGAAAACAGTATGGAGGTTCCTCAAAAGATTACAAATAGAACTATCCTATGACCCAGCAACTGCACATTTATCCAAGGGATACAGATGTGCTGTTTCGAAGGGCACATGTACCCAACGTTTATAGCTGTGCTATCGACCATAGCCAAAGTGTGGAAAGAGCCCAAATGTCCACTGACATGAATGGATAAAGAAGATGTGGTAGATATATATGATGGAGTATTACTCAGTGATCAAAAAGAAGGAAATCTTGCCATTTGCAACCACGTGGATGGAACTAGAGGGTATCATCCTAAGCGAAATTAGTCAGAGAAAGACAAGTATCATATGACTTCACCCATATGTGGAATATAAGATACAAACAGATGAACATAGGGGAAGGGAAGCAAAAATAGTATAAAAACAGGGAGGGAAACAAAACATAAGAGACTCTTAAATATAGAAAACTGAGGGTCGCTGGAGGGGTTGTGGGAGAGAGGATGTAGGGCTAAGTGGGCAAGGGTATGAAGAAGGACCCTTGTTGGGAGGAGCACTGGGTGTTATACGTAGGGGATGAACTGCTGGATTCTACTCCTGAAATCATTGTTGCACTGTATGCTAAGTAACTTAGATGTAAATTAACAAAAATAAATAAGAAGAAGAAATAAGAACTGGTGAGTTGAGTTGTCCAAAGCAGAGAGCTCCCTGCCAGATGCATCCAGTGTGTGCTGTGAGGGGGATCCCTTCAGCCCCCTCAATGGAGCCTGGATGAGTCACCTCCATGATTCTGTTATGTCAGGGTGCCAAACAAACATTTCCTATGGAAGCCATAACATGAAGAATTTGGGAAAGCCTACACTAGAGTAGCTTTACCCCATTCACCCATTTGGCCTGAAAGACGGTGAAGACCCAAAAGAATTGAAAGCAGGGATTCAAAGGGCTATTTCTCCACTGTGGTCATGGCAGCCTTCTTCACAACAGCCAAAGCGTGGAAGTACCACAAGTATACCATCAATGGATGAATAGATGAATGGCATGGACTCACAGTGGAATGTTATTCAGCCTGAAAAAAGGAAGAAAATTCTGACATGTGCTATACCATGGATGCACGTGGAAGACATAATGCTGAATGAAAGCCGTGACAAATGGAGAAATATATGATCCACTTCTTTGAGGCACCCAGAATAGCCAAATCTGTAGAGACAGAAGGTTGGTTACTATGGGCTGGAAATGAAGAGTTTTCATTTGGTGGGGACAGAGTTTCAGTTTTGTGAGATAAAAATGTTTTGGAGCCGTATGGTGGTCATGGGGGTACAACAATGTGAAGGTACTGAGTGCCACTGAACCGTACACTTGAAAACGCTTACGTGGTAAATTTTATGTTATTTACATTTTACCGTAAAATGAATAAATAAATAAATAAATAAATAAAAGACTAGGAAAGGTGAGGTATGTGAAATGAAAAGGTTAAACTCTCAGGAATTGTTAATGGTTCTCTTAGGACATTATAAACATGAGTTGGAAAGGGGTCAGGGGGCTTTGAGAGCTCTCTTTCCAGAAAAGATTCAAACCACAACCTCCCACCTCCACCCCAGACAGGTTTCAAGGATTTCCGTGAGCTGTGGCTAACCCAGAAGGGGTCTATGAAGACAAAGATCTCAGAAAAAAATGGCTTCCAATGGAACGGTGGGGTGGCTTTGAGAAACGGGCCCTGCTCTGTCTGGGAAATCGTCTGCCCTCTAGAGGCCAGTCTGGATAGCAATGAAAGGACTCCTATTTTCGCTCCTTTGAAGTGTAAAAGTAAAAATAGGAAGTACAAAGAGGATATGAGGCCTCTGCTGCTGATCAAGGTGCCAAAGACTCTTAGGTCCCTTCTCCGTCAGGATATGGCCATTTGGAGCCAGAGGGCGCAAAGTGACCAGCCACCTTGCCACATCGAGTCACAGCTGTCTGTGGGAACTCGTACCTGCTGTGCAGACGCTCGGGCTGAAGAGAATCAGGAGAGAAGAAACTGTAGCCAGAGACCCACCACCCTGTAGGACACATGTGTTTCCAAATCGAGCCAGGGACGTCGAGTGTGCAGTTCTTCATATTCAATTTTGAAAATAAATGATTTGTTCTAAAACTGAAATGTGGTGGTGGTTGCACGATTCTGTGAATATTTTAGAATTCAATTTTGGGGGTACCTGGGTGGCTCAGTCAGTTAAGCATCTGACTTCGGCTCAGGTCATGATCTTACGGTTTGTGGGTTCAAGCCCCACGTCGGGCTCTGTGCTGACAGCTCAGATCCTGGAGCCTGCTTTGGATTCTCTTCCCCTCTCTCTCTGCCCCTCCCCCACTCATACTTTGTCTCTCTCTCTCTCTCAAAAATAAACATTAAACAAATTTTTAATAAAATTCATTTTTTTTGTACACCTTAAAGAGGAGAATTTCACGGCATGCGGGTTTATATCTCAATAAAGTGGGTTAATACATAGATAAATGGTTACCCCACAAAGTGAGTTAAAATTTCTCTGCCAAAATTTTATGAGCAGAGAGGACATTTCCTCGGTAGTTGGCTTGGTTTGGGGCTGCCCGGCATCTGATCCCTGTTTAAAACAGCACATTTCATTGATTCCGAAGCCAAAGGGAACAGATGCTCCGTACTGGACCCACCACAGTCCAGGGTGGGGAACAGAGGATTGAACTGCACTTGGCCGGCAGGCTGCAGTGTCTTAGGACTTGGTTCTGGAGCCAGGAATCCCAGACCCCCAGGAGCAGCCTAGGAAAGGCACACTGACCAGCCAGTCCCCAGGCTCCTGGCCATGGCCTCAGCCCCGCCCCGTGTGGAGACCCGTGGTGGGTGCCTGATTCCAAACAGGTCCTTCCCACACAACTAGGCCTGTGATGGCCCAGCAGTACTCCTCAGTCAAACTGCTTTAAGAATGACTAGGAACGATTTTAAGAAATGCATCAATGACATATAAATAAAAGTTCTTCTCACTGCTTTTTTAAGTTTATTTATTTATTTTGAGAGAGAGAGCACAAGAAGCAGAATAGGGGCAGAGAGAGAGAATACCAAGCAGACTCTGCACTCTCAGCAAGCACAGGGTCCAGTGAGGGGCTAGAACCCACAAACTGTGCGATCATGACCTGAGCCAATCAAGAGTCAGACACTTAACCGACTGAGCCACCCAGGCACCCCAAAATGTATTTTTTTTAATGTTGATTTATTTTTGACAGAGAGAGACAGAGCGTGAGTGGGGAAGGGGCAGAGAGAGAGAGGGAGACACAGAATCCGAAGCAGGCTCCAGGCTCTGAGCTGTCAGCACAGAACCTGATGTGGGTCTAGAACTCAAATCGTGAGATCATGACCTGAACCTGTGTCAGATGTTTAACCGACTGAGCCACCCAGGCGCCCCCCCCAAAACATTTTTTAAATTTTAAACAATGATATTTTCACTTCCATGTTTTTTTCATGTATTCAACATTGTCAAATTCTTGAAGCTCCCCTCAGCTTTTTAAGTAATCTCTACACCCAACATGAGGCACAAACACATACCCCGAGATTAAGAATTGCATGCTCCACCAACTGAAGCAGCCGTGCACCCCCAGGAAACCCTTTCCTTCAGTGAAAATACTGGTAAACTTCAGCTGAGGTCAATCTTCTCTAAATTATCAAAAACATGAGTTATGGAAATCATAGGAAACGAGATTCCATGTAATTACCGTGTAATGAGTTGTGAATTTTAGCTCAGAACAAAACATGGCGAATTTTTTGCTCTTACTGAAAAAATGAATATGCTTCCTGGGGAAATTTGGAAATATCCACAAAGCCACAAGCCAAGAATGACTGCAGTTGCATTAAGAGCCTCAGGAACAGTAATGGCAGGAGTCTGGGCCAGAGGAGAATGGCCCCAGAGAGAATCCCATCGCTGGGGAATCTCCCTGGGAAGGGCACTTTCTCTCTGAGAGCTGACATGAGGACTTGAGAAAATAAGTGTGCTTTCTTACCTCTTGACTTGTAAATACAAGTATCTCCACAGAAAGGCATCCTAAAGAAGAGGTACTTCACCATGAGAAAATAAATGCAATGAACTTAAGAACCTTCAGAAGGTTTCCTCCGGGAATCCCCAATGTTTGCTCCTCATTAGTAATAGAAGAGC